CCCGCCGCCGCATCTCCAACGTCATGATCGCTCTCACCTGGGCGCTCTCTGCCGCCATCTCCCTTGCCCCCCTTTTTGGCTGGGGGGAGACCTACAGCCCGGAGCAGGAGCGGTGCCAGGTCAGCCAGGAGCCCTCCTACACCATCATCTCCACCGGCGGGGCTTTCTACCTGCCCCTCTGCGTGGTGCTCTTCGTCTACTGGAAGATCTACAAGGCGGCCAAGTTCCGCATGGGGGGCCGCAGGAAGAACACCGTGGTGCCCCTTCCCGAGGCTGCCCAGGTAAGGGTGGGGAACCGGGGGGAGAGCCCCCGCTGCCTCCCCCAGCACCTGCGCTCCTGCTTCTCGCCTGCTCCCAGCCATCACCCCTGCACTGGTGGTTTCGGCACAGCGAGAAGAATGAGAAGTGCCATGGGGCTCTCGTGTGAATTTAGCTCTGCTGCAGACCAGACGTGAGCGGTAATTAGCCAGTCAAAAAGCGCCACTCTTGAAGAAGAGTTTTATTCTCATGTTTTCATTTAGTGTGCCGTAAGAGTAAGTGTAGGTGCAATCACTGCCAGACTGGAGGGTCATTTAAAAATCACCTCTTTAGTCTGAATTTGTCATTCCTTGGGGGTTTTTCCTCTTTATTTTTTTACCATGTTGATGGGGTGAACAAAGACATAAACAGATCCCTAGGTTGTGTACAGACTAAATGCATGCACATTTATCTACGAGCACAGCCATTGTGTGGGATCTATCAGTGTCTGGAGAGATTTTAATAAGCAAATCATACATTTTATTTATGTGTTTGGGCTATTTTTTTTTGCCTTGAATACTGGGAACATACTGCTCACTGCATGGTTTCAAAGCAATGAGAAATTAATTGTTTCTATTTTAAAATTACCAGCTGTCTTAAAAACCGTGTCCTCCTCCTCCTTATTCCAAACAGTGCCTGTAATCCCACGAAGTCCTAGTCATGTGGGAGGTCTCATTCATTTCAGGGGTACACCTAGGTGACAGGAAAGCTGTGTCCTGTGGAAGGGTTGGGGTTGGCCCTTGTGTCCCATAAAGTCAGGCTCTCAGCGTGATGATGCTATCACCCATGCCATGTCGCCAAGGTGCTCAGCAGTGCAAACTCCCTCTGCCTTCTGTCACATACCCTCTCCTAACCATGGAGGAACTGATTCTTTATAGTGCATTTTTGTGATTGCATGTTGTACTTGCCAAGTCCAGTCCCTTCCTCAGTAACAGAAGATGATCTGTGTGGATGTTAAAGGTACACAAGGAGAAATGGAGCATTTTCTTTGTGACTAATCCTGCAGAGTGTCACTTCTCTGCTAAATCCCTCTAACTTTGATTTGGAGTCATGGTAGGAAATGTTGTTATGGTCATGAATAAAAAAGTCTGTAGGTTTGTGTCCCCTGATTCTAGCAACAGATAACAGCACTGGCAATTATATGTGGTCAGACTTGCAGATTTGGGTTCTCATGTCTTGAAGATGTTTATAACATAAATTGATTGATGAAGCTGTCTTCTACGCAAAAGCAGGAATTGTTTTAGAAAAGATGAGAATGTCTCCTCTAGAGGCATTCTTTTTTTTTTCTACAGCCTTCATCCGCTTGTTTGCACCAAATTTCCTTTCAGGTTGCTGTAAGTATGATGAATGTATTGTTTGGAGTTAATGTATGACCTTTTCCAAGCACAAAAGTTAACTGAATATTTACAGTGGGTTTGCATGCTTTATCTTTTACATACACACATACTCATACAGGACTAGTTGGAATCTAAAATTCTGGGAAGCTAAATGAGCTCAGGTGTTGCTGCTTAAATTTTAGCCTATACAGAGACACATTGTTGGTCTGTCAGTTTTATCACCAGAAAGCCTGGCTCCCAGTTGTCGTAGTTCTGTGTGTGAGCACAGCTAGGCTGGCAGGTAAGGGCTTTTTGCTGAGGTAGTGTCTGGCAGCTGGTTTAGGCTATACTGACAAAAGAGCTCCTGTCAGTGTGAGCTGAATACCCATTTTGGAGGGGTTGCCAGTATAGCTGTTACTGCAATACCAGCAGACGCTCAAGCCAGTAGTTCTTCATCTTTCTTATATTGGCCGTGATTGACATATTCGCTTCTCCTTTCATAATGCTGATTCTTCGATCTGCAGTTGGTGTATAGCAGCAACCTTGCCTGTTGTCCCAGCAGCTTCGTTTGCTGACTTAAATCAAAAGGCTTTTGTGATGCCCATGCAAACCTCTACTCGTGATCTAAAGGATTCTGCTGATGCCCAGCTGCACACATGTGCATTAAAGGAACCCATGGATCAAGGGAGCTGTCATGCAGGATGCATTTCTTCTCAGTTCTAAGTTTTCTACTGAGACTTATTCACTGAGTTTTATCCTGATCTATTTCAGCTTACAGAGCAGGCTCCATCGTGGCCGCAGGAACAGCAGTAGTTTCTCAGTGAATTCTGGAGAACAATCTTCAGATGCAACATTTTTCTTTTGTCACTCACTCTGGGTGCCAAGTGCTCCCTGCAGCTATGTCAGTTCTCATGCTGGGTGCCCAGCAGTGGCTGATGTGAGTATCACT